TCAGCAGGAGGCGGGAGGAGGTGCCCATGGACTGGCCCCATGCCACTTATCTGGCCCACAAGGCTAAAAAATTAAGTATCGATGTCCTAAACTGTTTCCTTCTCCCTTCAATTCACTTTATTCATGTATTCATTTAGAGCCCTTGAAGAAGCTTCACTTCTTTAGGTTCCCCCTTAATAAATCCTATGAGCAAAGACTTCTGTGATGCTTTCAAATTCTTTCATGAAAAGCCATATATGATGCATACAGAACAGTCTTCATCTACTAAACTGTGAAGTAACATCCTCTAATTTTGGAGGAATTACTTTTATATTCAAGCACTGAAAAGCCTTTTGCCAATTAAAAACTGATGCATAAGGATCTCAGAAGTATTGTTAATTAAAATCCTACAGCTGACTCAAATAGCTTATAGAAAAGCAGCTTTCCAGATCTCAGTTTTCATGGAAGAGAATAACTTCAACAACAGGATCTTCTGGATCAAAGGTGGTATAAGATGATACAGTGGAGGAGGAGTTTTGAATTAAGGTATTAAATATTCTGGATTTTCAGGAAAAACATTATCAATGGACTTCTATTCAACTGTGACAAAAGATCCATGCCATCACAGCAACATTTCAAATCAGATTTTTAGTACAATTTTGCACTTAAATATGGCAGCAGAGTCAGGATTAGGGCTACCAAAATGTTACTTTGCAAATTAATAACTGATGATATTTACACTTTGGTAAACCAGCTTTTGGGATTCAGTTTATCTTTTAAGAGTATAAATGATCCCTAACATACTGTCACCTTTTTATGTGGATGCTGCTTCTGCATTTCTGTGGGGCAGCCGTGTTAGATTTGGTTCTAAAGTAGAATTATGGGGTATAAAAAGCTAGCAAGTGGCATCTGTTGCTTATTATTTGAATTTAATATATTTCTTTCTTTTTCAGTTAGGGGCTTACCAGGCTGCATGTAGGAGTCTGATCAGATGCCATTCTAGCAATGATTATAAGCACAAGTGATCTAGCTTTTACCCAAGAACATCCTTTACTCTCCAATATTACTCTGCTGTAGTTTTCCCAGTTCTTCCAGGTCTTTCCTATAATTAATTAGTGGCAATCTTAGCCAAGATGCTGAGGCATTGCTTCTCCAAACATTAAAAACTCAGTTCAGGTTAGCACTGTGGACCTCTGTTTACAACCTCAACACCATATTTGCTTGTCTAATTGCTGCTATACCCAGAGCCTCTGGTTACCATTTTCTGTTCACTCTCCTTTTCTGAAGATTATTCCTTGGGCATTATTCTTTATTTCCATCCAGAACATTTTTTCAAATCCATTCTTGTAATCTCACCGCTCCCACTGAACACAGGTTTCCCCCACCAGTGCCCGGTCTGCAGTGTTGAACAGCTCTTCCAATTTCGAGTTTTATCCTGTCCCCATTAAAATAAGCTCTCACTCACCCAAGCCAGCTCATGGTGCTGGACGCTCCCTCCCCAGCCGAACACTGCTGTGTTTGTCAAACGGATGGAGCAAAAGAGGACTTCTTTTAGGAAACCAGACATGTACTTGGTTGCATTTGTAGCCAAAACATTTTATGGCACGTCATAAAATCGGACTGGGGCGGGGAGGTATTCTCCATCCTTTGGAAATATTCTGTCCTTGGGGGTCAGAGCTTTTCATACCTTTCTGCAGCGAGAGGAGCCGGCTTAAGCGCTGGACACTGGCTGGGACGGGGGTTTCTTGTATACACTCTTGCAGTGAATCGCACTGCACCGCTGCCCCTGCTTGGCAAAGGGACATCCCTGCTGTAGGTGGGGGTCAGGGCGGCGCGGGTCACCAGAGGGCTGTCAAAGGCTGGGCTGCTCGCACGCTTCCCTCCGCCGGGCCCAGCCCTGACCTGGCCGGGAGGAGCCCGCTGAAAACCCCCTTCTGGGCTGAGCCCAGCCGGATCCCGGGCCGCGGG